ATTTCTGAGCTCGTAAATTTGGATCAGACGGAAGATCAGTAGGTTCTACCAATGTATTCAACAAAATATGCATTATGTGGATAAGATAAAGGGCTTAGAGTGGATGAGATAAAGGGCTTAGATCCACAAAATATGCATTAGGTGGATGACACCTTTCATTTTTGAATCAAACATTACAAAGTAAACCCTAGAGTGATAACACCGAAACAAGCTGACTTGGCTGCTCTGGATTTGGAGATTTGGGGTATGGAGCTTCACCACCACCATGTCCCTCTCTTTGAATCCGCAACGGGGTCCCATTGCGTGCTCCTAGGACCTGGAGTCGCATCGCGGCATGCTGTTGGGCGCTTCTACTACCATTAATCATAGCAGCAGAATTCAAGCCGACAGACTCGCATGCTCCAGATGAGGTGCATGTTGCATCCAACGCGTCATGTTCATATTGACGATCGTGACGGTGCGCGTCGTCTCGAGCGAAACTGGTAACCCGAAGCCGTCGCGGGGAGCCATGTCTGCAGCCAAGAACGCTCGCGCGAGTTTCTTCAAGATTGCTGGCGCCCGCAGCGCCAGAAATGTCCTCAAAGCGCTCCAAATAGGCGTCGACTTTGCCCTCCACGACCACGTAGTCGCGATAAGGGTCCACTGAAGTCCCACCACTACTCCGAGTATAGCAAGGAGTCGTTTGCTCCACGACGCGTGCGAGTGAGGCCGCGATGACGGCAGCGGCGCCAGAATCAGTTGCACAGCGAGCTTTGACGGGAAGGGACATCATATTGAAGCGTTACGACCTCGGAATGGAGCTGAACTTAGTAGATTTACGGAGAGATACTAAAACAATTCGACAAAAAGTGATGCTTTGGGAGCGTGAGATCCTTCGACTAAAAAAACCATTCGCTCGCATTTAAACAGCCGTCATCATCGCCCTCCTCTCCTAAACCTCTCTGGAGTTATACTGTGCTCTAGGAGCTGTGAGGCTCCCCTCGTTCTAAAATCCCCTCATGGATGGATGGTGGGAGAAATGGTTGGAAGAAAGGACGAGTGAGATTCTGAGGATAACAAAATCTTGCCTCAGGTGGATGTCCTTGAAAAACTGTGAAATGTGCGGTCCGAAGTGCTCAAATGTGCGCTTCGATATGTTCACCACCACTGCCTCCGCGGATAGGCAGAACCGTGTGCGCTGTTTTAGGGATCATGTCATGGGCAGGGCTCTCGATTCATTTTGGGGCACGCTGCCTGATCCGAGTTGTGACCCGCTACACCCTGCCTCTGCAGTGTGCCTTGGCGGTCGTACCCAAGAAATGGCAGTGTGGTTTTTTTTCGAGGTCGAATCTGGCAGGGTGGGAAATCCAAAAACACTGCCTAGCTAAAACTTTTAGGTCTAGCAGTCGATCCTGCCATATCGACGATTCCTAGAAGCCAGAAAATTTTGTCGAACTGGGTCTTCCTGCTCGATTCTAAGTGGTCGTCTCTATGCGTAAGTGCGTGGTGGTTGAGGTTTTAGTGGTGTAAGGTGGGGAGATGAGAGGCCTGTTGGTGGGTCTTCTAGGTGCGGTCACTACGATAACGCGCCACTCTCTGTGCTGGAGCTGAATCTCTGGTATTGAAAGTACTTAGCCGATTCTGGAATTTCAGTCACAAACGCTACTGGACACATTTCAGTCACAAACGCCACTCACCGTGCTAGAGCTGAATCTCTGGTGTTTCAAGTACTAATCCGATTCTGGAAATTTCACTCACAAACGCTACTTAGAGGAATAGCCGCGCAGTTAGTAAAGTTCAACAAAAGAGGAAAAGTTGGCAGGGTGTCTGCCGTAACCAGCCGGGAAAAGGCAGTGTTACACATAAGCATAAACAGCATTTGCAGGGTTTATTTTCACCCCTGCCTGACGATGACAGGGTGGACCCCCAGCCAAACCCAATTCTAGCAATGTGGGTCCAAACTTTCACCCTGAAATGCAGGGCAAACAGGGTAAAACTTCCTGCTATCCTGAGCCCTGGTCATGGGTGGTGACCGACAGCGCGCCACCTGGATGGCTAGGCAACTGATGTGCTGGATATTGACTCCACGTAGGTGTACTTTCATTATACATCGAGCGCAGTGATATTGGATTGACCCAGATTTTTTTTTTTTTTTTTTTGGAGGTGTAAATATATTATCAAATATAGATACATCCGCAGTCGTAACTGTATATCTTGGAGGGTCTAGGCCACGCCTTGTGGACGCCGCACCGCCCCCCTATGGCATGCTACGGAGGCTGATAGAAAGTGCGCGGGTTGCGCCAGATGGAGAGGAAAGGAGCCGCCCAAATTGTTGGCCCACCATCACCGCAAATCTTCTGAAGCTGCAACTTCTCATCCGCAGCCACATGGCTCCAGTTGTCTGTCTTCCAGAAACTTCTCCCTTCATCGGCCGCTGCCAGCCTTCCCCTTGCTGCCAGCACCACCCTCGCATGCGTCATGAAGTCCAGCACAGCACATCTCCCCACCTTCTTTCTCTCGAAAGGAGCTGCGCGCCAAACTGCATTGCATCGCGCCAACCAGATCTGCCTAAGCACCACTGATGTCAGCGTCATCTCCGGAAAACCTGACGCTGTGCCCTTTTCGCCAAACAGTAGGTCCCCCAGACAGTCCACCGACCTGCCCGGGTTCAGCATGTGCAACGTCCGCTTCAGCGCGCCAATGATCGGTTGTATGACCGGGCAGCTGTAGAGACAATGTGCTAGGGTTTCCTCCTCTCCACAGTGCACACATGCTATCATGTTCTGGAAGAAACCCAGCCTCCCCCCAACCTGCAGGTTCATGCTGTGAACCCTTGGTAGGACGTCCCTCGCCTTGCCCGGTACATTTATCGAGTCTCTGGTCTCAATGACTTTCCGCCAGTCAATCTTTTTTCCCCACACGTCCTCCCACTCCGCTTGTCTCCAAGAACGCCCTTTCGCCTTGGATAGTGCGGCCCTTACCCCGCGTAGCGGCACCAATTCTCCCCCAGCGAACAGTCCTGGTAGAGACAGCAACCGCACCTTTGGATCTCCCACGGGGCCAAGCAGTATTCCTTTCTGAACCGCCATCGGTTGGAGTCTGCACGCTTCGAAACACGTTTTCTCCGCTCTTGCTTTTTTCCCTATTCTCCCGTCTTCACCGAGGGACATGCTGGACGCGACCACCTTCCTGCCGTCCACCCCGTCCACTGCCCATGGGAGTCTAGCCGGTTGCCCTTGCAGGATGTACCTCACCACTCCCGATGCTTTCACCACAGCTTCGGCCGTTGCCGGCTCCTCGATCAATTTCCTCCACTCCGGCGGCATGGCCCCGTATGCCTTCCTTGCCATGACCGCCGCCTCCTTGCTTCCCAGTTCAATCGTCAGCACCTCTTCATCTTTCACCCCCCTCCGTCCCCCTGGCCCGTCCGTGAGCAGGTCCCGAATGCGCGTGGTGATGAGGGCCGCTGTGCCTATTTGGTGACCGAAAGGGCTCTCCCCTCGATGCATGATGTTTCTGTTGAAACAAATAAACTCCTCTTCCACCTCCCACCTGCTCCTTGGTGCCGGCAGTGTCGCGAAAGGTGATTTCCAGAACACTTTTGCCGCCGCCTTCCATCGTTCGCTACCGCGCTGCCACTGCTTTATTGCCGACGGGTGCGCGTACAGCGTGGCCAGCCCTTGCGGGAAAGCCGCCGCCTTCTCTGCCAGCCAGCGGCGCGTTCCGTCCGGCTCCTTCAGAAACTTTCCGATCCTGCGGATCGCCAGCCCGTCCAGGCAAAGCTTCGGGTCCAGCTGCCCCAGACCTCCATCCTTCCGCGGCAGACACGCCAGGTACGCGCTCCACAGGATGAATATTTTTTCTTCTGCCGCCTCCCCTGCCGATACGAACGCGTGACATAATTTCCTGATTTTTTCCCACGTCTCCTCCGGCGGCGAGTAGACTTGGGCCTGGAACATCAGTACTGGCAGGACATAGCAGCTAATCACTGCCACTCTTGCCGTGGTTGTTAGATATTGCGCTTCCCACTTCCTCAGCTCCTCTTTTATCCTTTCGTACGCCCTCTTCCAGGATGGATCCGGGTCACCGTTGGGCGTTATCCACACCCCCAAGAGCCTCTCCGGCTCTCCCTGCTCCGACCATTTATACGAGACGTCTGCCGGCGCCGGCTCTCCCCGGTTGCTTCCCAGCGGTACCACCACTGACTTTTCACAATTCACCTTCAGCCCTGACTGTTTCCCGAAGGTGCCCAAGACCTCCACCACCTTCCGCAGTTGGGCTTCTCCATTCAGCAGAAATGATGTGTCGTCGGCGTATCCCACATATGCAAGCGGCTCCTTCCCGACCGGTCCGATGCCCAGCTTCTCCCGCTGCGTGGCTCTGCATAACGGCTCGAGTGCGCGGATTGACCCAGATGGTTCTGTAGAGCCTCTGCACATTCAGTCAGCGAACCCATTTTCTCTGCACAGTACACACGATGCCCAACCAAGTCGTCATATTTTTTCGACACCTGGTGACTGGAAGCGCGCATTGGATTCGCGAGCCTTCGTCAGCTTCGCCAACCGTGTTACGAATGTTGGGTGGCTATGATTGTATTTAGGAAATCAGGGGTGCCAGCGCGAGGTTGTTTTCGCAATCGAATCGAACCGAGCCGCGAGAGCTTGTACGCGACATGCGGTTGCGATTTCTTCACCAGAACATTCTTCATATTCGTAGATGCATACTTCATTGATAACAAAACACAAGCCATGCTGTTATGAAATTAGATACCAGAACAATTTACATCGGGAAATATCATACATGTAATTCGCCGACATCAGAACTTCACCTTCTCTTTTAAGAATAGGATCCCTTCTTGCTGCACAAAAATCAATACGTAACATAAGGCGAAACATGGAAGTAGCAAACAAAAAGCGACGATAAGCGAATACCATAACAAAACCGAGGAGTTTGAACAATTAGCAATTGAAACTTTAGGCTATCAAGGTCATGAAAATACGCTTGTACAATGTGCAACTCACCACAAGGAAAAGCCAGAGGCAGCCCACAAGGCCTGGAAAGAGTGGGTACCACCATTTGAGGCGATGAAACTTGGGGGCGTCGAGGAAAATAAGCGGGAGGCCGGCAGCTGGAGGGGGAAGGGAGCGGGGGAGGGCGGAGGATAAGAGGATACTAAGGGCCCATCATGGTGAGAGAGAGTTGGCTGTGGGTACCACCACTTGAGGCGATGAAACTTGGGAGCGTAGAGGAAAATAAGTGGGAGGCCGGCAGCTGGAGGGGGGAGGGAGGGGAAGAGGGGGGGAGGGGGGAGGATAAGAGAATTCTAAGGGCCGATGAAACTTGGGGGCGCCGAGGAAAATAAGTGGGAGGCCGGCGGCTGGGTGTGGGGGAGGGAGGGGGAGGGAGGGGGAGGGAGGGGGAGGGAGGGGAAGGGAGGGGGAGGGAGGGAGAGGGAGGGGGGAGGGAGGATAATAAATTATGAGGACCCATCATGGTGAGGGTTGGCTGTAAGATACCAAAAGGGCAGGTACCACGATTCTAGGCGGCGGTGGAACTTGGGGGCATCGAGGAAGAATGAGTGCGAGCTTGGCGGCTGGAGGGGGGAGGATAAGGGGATACAAGGCAAGGCAACTAAGGGCCCTTCATGGAATGAGTTGGCTGCAAGCTCCTGAAACGGTGGCAAGTACCACAATTTGAGTAAGTGAATCAGCAACTGCTGTGGCCTTGGCGAGCCAACCCAGCGTATACCAAACGCACTATAGCGAGTAGATAGATGTGCTTATAACGAGTGCGGAAGTATGCTTATAACGAACTGATGTGGCCTTGGCAAGCCGATCCAACATATACCAAACACACTCTAACGAGTACAGATGCGTGATGAGTACAGATGCGTGCTTATAACGAGTACCGATGCGTGCTTATAACGAGATTAGAAGCATGCTTGTAACGCACCAGGGGGGTGGACGGAGTTGGTGAATTGCATGAACGCAATAGAGGCAGCAACTGCTGTGGCCTTGGCGAGCCAAGACGGCCCCAGCAGGCAGAAGAGCGCCACTCCTATGAGCGCCGTTCCCACGTGGGCTATCAGGATGGTCTTGCGCTGTGGAGGCGCAGGGAGGAGAAATGGAGAAGAAACAGAGGGGTGAACGTGGGGTAAGAGGGAGTGAAGGAGAGGTGAGAATGCCACTCCTATGAGCGCCGTTCTCACGTGGGCGATGAGAATGGTCTTGCGGTGAGGAAGGATGGCAGACAGAGAGACACCGATTTTGGAAGGGTTGAGGAGGGTAGGGCCTGCAGCCCTGCGCAGAGAAAATGGTTTTTTTCCTCAACCCCTTTTGGTTAAGTCCATCCCCTGTTTCCAAGCAGATGGACTTGCACTGTGGAGGAAGGAAGGCATTTGGGGAAATGGGGGAGTGCAAGGGGAGGGAGATGAGCGTAGTGTTATATAATAACGACACGTGATCATCTGAGCCAATGCTTAGATTCACCTAAGAGACGGCTGCCTGCGGACAGGCAAACAGAAGGCAGCAGAAAGAGTGAAAACACTTGAAGAGTAACCTGATTCACCTGACAGCTGAGCAGTCACCTGCAAGACGGCTGCTTGCGGCAGGGCGAAGAGGAGGCAGCAGAGTTGCAGCAAACACCTTGAGAATAACCTGAAAAATGGCTGGAGGAATAAAGGCTTGAGGTGCTTGAGGCAGTGCGAAGAGGAGGCAGCAGACATAGTCAATACACCTGAAGAATTCACCTAAGGCTGAGTATTCACCTGGGAGACGGCTGCTTGCGGCGCGGCGAAGAGGAGGCAGCAGACAGCACCGAAGGATCCAAGGGAGACTGTAAGGCCGTGTGACTGTAACAGGTGGTCTGCTAACGCGAACCCTGCAAAGGACACGAACGCTCCTGTCAATACAAGGAGGAAGAGAGAGGAAGGTAGGAGGGAGGGAGGGAGGGAGTTTGAGGCAGGACGAATAGGAGGCAGCAGACAGCATCGAAGGAGCCGAGGGAGACTGTAACAGGTGGTCTGCTAGTGCGAACCCCGCAAAGGACACGAAGGCACCTGGTGGTATGAGGAGACAGGCAGAGGGGGGAAGGAAGAAGGACGAGGGGAGGAAGGAAGGCGGAATGAGAGGGAGACTGTGACGCCGTGTGACTGTAACAGATGGTCGGCTAACGCGAACCCCCCGGAAGACACGAAGGCAACTGGCGGTATGATGAGGAAGGGAGGAAGGGGGAAGGAGGAAGAAGGGAGATGCGATGAGATGAAATGAAATCAGATGAGACGGGAGAAAGGAAGGGAGGAAGACAGGAGGAGGGAAAGAAAAGAAGCAACAGAGAAGACCGAAGCTTTTGAAGCGTCCTAAGAATCGCTAAGGCGAGCCTCGCCAAAGAAACGAAGGCGTCCAGAGGTATGAGACGGGCGAGGGAGGAGTGGGGTGCGGTGCAGTGAGATGGGAAGGAATACGGAAGAGAGAGGAAGGAGGGAGGGACGGGGGATGGGATGGGCTCGAATGGGTGGGGAAGAGGGGGGATGGGATGGGACGGAATGGAATGGAGGTGGCACGGGGTGGTGGACTAACCACCCAGCCCAACCCAACCCACCCCACCCCACCCCACCCCACCCCACCCGTCCCCAAACCCGACCCACCCCACCGCAACCCAACCCACCCCACCCCACCCCATTCCCAATGAACAGACACCAGTGCAATCCCAATCTCGTTAGACAGACACCAGCGCAGCGCCACTCACCGACGGCGGGCCACACGAGGTCGCTGATTGGCTGCTTCTTCTCCGCTTCTGGCGGCGCCGGTTGCGGAATAGCCGCGGCGAACTGTCGAAGCGCGCACAGACGTTTGGAAGGGAGGAGGGCGGCGATGGGAGAGAGGGGGAGGGGGGGGGGATGGTGATAGAAAGAAGCCGCGCGAAGGAGGGGGAAAAAGGGGGAGAGGGAACGGGGGAGGGGGGAGGAGGGTGTAAGGAGATAAGGAGAGGGCGAGGGAAGGAAACGTAGAGCTAGAAGAATCAAAAGAGGCGAAGAAGCGAGAATGCCAATCAAGAAACACTAGAAGAGGAAAATTCGGCAGCAAGGGGCGCAGAGACAGGGTAATTCCAGAATTGGTACCATTTAGTGGGAATATTCGAGTCCACTGCCCTGGATAGACACGGGGGCAGACAGAAACGCACCTCGGAGAAATCGGACGCTCCCGCAGCGCCAGCACCGGCGGCGGCGGCGGCGGCGGTGGTGGGACCTTGAGCCCGCACGCGTACCGCCCCGCGCTTAGCGAACGAAGGCCGAGCGTCGCTCGAAGCAATTCGGCCGGAACACCCGACTCGAGGTAATCGAGAGCTTTTACCTTCTCGCCGGGAGCTCAGTCTTGGAGGTGAATGGTAAGCGTGTCTTTTAACAGCCGAAGCGCGGGCGACGACGACGACACTGTGACATTCATGCACGGCGCTTCCGCAGCGAGGTGCTACTAACGAGAGGGAATTGGGTAAATAGTGTGATTGTAACGGAGCGCGTGCGTCGAACGCTGCTGGTTTTGTTCCTGTTGCTGAGGCCAGTCGCGACGGTTGGAGATGGAGGTGGCATGCCATGGCTGCGCGTGTCGACAGAGGAGAATTTATTAGCGCGGCCCGGTAGGTTCAAAGTAAGGCTTTATTGTGATTCCTCTCGCCGGCGTGAGACTGGAAGAAGAGGAAGATAAGGATGCTAATGAGGCACCCGAACGAGGAGGAAACGCAGATGAAAATTGTTTCGCTGAATACGTGTTCGAATTACGCTGACAAGTTACTATGCGAATAACAGTCGACTGTTGAGGTGTTGGCTGCAGCATTAGAGTCGTTTCATGGGCTCGAATGTAAACCAAAGGAAGCTCCCTCCCTAGTACTACGGCCTTACACGTTCCGAAGTCAGCACTGCATAGCAGAGTGTCAGGTAATCAATATCTTAGCTCCAGCCTCAGCAAATGGTTCAATCGTTCAAAAGAGTGTTTCTTGGAAGTGACGAACAGCAGCATGGATAGAGACTGGTGGGGATTGGCGAGAGAGTGGATGGGGGCAGTGAATGGATGGCAGCAATGAGAAACGGGGAGAAGCGTGTTGGATATAACCCATAGAGAACCGAAAAGTTCCTGGGTTTGCAGGGGTTCCCCACACACATGCAGTTTCCATAGCTTTTGCTACTCTGACATTTAGTTTTGTGAGATTTGCACTGAAATATAATGTTTGGAGGCACGAGGGCACTGTTCCAACCAGGTCAATTACTTGACTGGCGTTTCACCGAAGAGAGTGTTTTCTTGTTACCGCACCAGTGTTTTCGTGCTGTGTTGGTTGAGTTGAGAGTTCTGGAAGGGAACTCATGTGACGCTGGCCCTGGCTCAAAATGTGGGGATGAAGAATCGAGGCGTGAATCTGACCTCAAATCTGATGTTGGTGAGTGGATGAGGAATGACAGGGCAGGCGAGGGTGGTCCCTCCATCAAAGTTGCAGGCAGAGGTGATTTGCTGCCGCCAAGAACTGCAACATCCAAACCAAACCCTGAGGTTTGGGAGAGCTTTGCCCCTCGGTTGTTCCGCGGCGTGCCGAACAGCTCAGTTGACTCTTTGATTGGGTTGGGGAGTTTCGCTGGGCACGCCTGTGCTTCCTGAGCCACATATTCTTGGGCTTGGTTACATTTCGTAGGCGCGGTGCCGCTCTGGAGTCAGCAGCTTCAACTGATCAGGTGCTGCTGTTTCGTGCTTGTGGCGGCTGCTGCCTGGGAGGGAAGGTCAAGTGTATAAAACAATGCGTTCATTGGTTGGAGCGATCGGACACCGAAAACCGACCAATAGAAACTTCTCATGCTGTTGACAGCGTGTACAAAGCGACTTTGTTCGGGCGAAGGCTCGAGGTTACGTAACTAGCCACACTTGATTGGTGCTCTTTTGCAACTAAAGTTCAGAAAATGCTAACATGCTTTCTTGTGATCTTCATGCCTGCACGCACATACAATGTCATTGATGAAAATACAAAGGGAGAGGAGGACAAATAGTGCAAATGTTTCCTTGGATGCTTCCTCCTGTCAGCAAAATTTTGAGTCTCACCAGTTGGTGATTCAGCAATAGTCACTTGCGCGGCATGCTGCAAGCAAGGCGAAGAATAAAGAGTGTCGAGTCGAGGCCAAAACAAACCATTCACTTGGTTTTAGCTTTTGTTTGGAGATGCAAACACTTGTTAACACATGAACCTCACATCTAAGGCCAGCGCACAAATGCACGCCCCCTTAGTGCTACTTCCTCCCACAAGGCTAGCCGTTTTAACATAAGAGAGAGAAATATAAATATATATATATATAAAATAAACAATCATAAAACTTGAAGGAGAGCACACTCACGTTCCTCTGCCCTGGTTAATTCGATGCCACCTCTTTGCACTCGCATTGAATCCCGCCACTGTTGCTGCTGCCACCAGCCTCATCGGACCCGCTAGTAGCAGCTCCAGTACGAGCTTGTTGAGTGACACACAAGGTGACATGCCTATAACGAGGGCGGGAAGGAAAGAGAAGGGGATGGTTGGGAGAGAAGGGAGAGGAGGGGAGTGGGGTGGGGAAAAAGTGGAAGGATAACTAGATATTGCTGAGTGACGCACAGGGGGCCATGGCTAAAAGAACAGAAAAGATGGGGATGGAGAGGAAAGGGCGGGGATGGTATGTGGAGGGTAGCGGGGGTGATGGGGAGCAGAAGCAGAGAGATATTCCTGAAGGGCAGAAATACGCCACAAGAGCAGCAGCAGCTGACTCACTCACCTGCGGTGGCGATGCTGAGCATCCAGCCGTTTTGTTTTGAGACGTCTCAAAACATACTTATAATCGTGGGGAGATGGGGGGAAGAAGAAAAAAAAGTACTTAAAAAAAACACCAGGCTGCTGGCTCACCTGCAGTGGCGATGCTGAGCATCCAGCCGTCGAATCCGACAGGAGCGAGGAAATCTCCCCGTTCGACGGCTGAGATCGCAGCTCTCGCGACCGCCATGGGAGGGAAGGGCTTGTTGCCTGCTGTGATTGCCTTGGTGACCGCTGGCTTGGTCTCGTTCTCTGTTGGAGGAAGGGGAGGTGAGGAGAGTAAGATAGGAAAGGAGAAGGGGCGGCAGGGTGGTTGCAATGAGAGTGTGAGCTCCTGCTTCTCGCGTCCACCATGAGGGGGAAGGGCTTGTTGCCTGCTGTGATGGCTTTGGTGACTGCCGGCTTGGTCTCGTTCTCTGAAGGGAGGGAGGAAAGGGGAAGAAGGTGGGGGGGAGGAAAGGAGAGGAGTTGCAGTTACCCTCACTCTCGCGACCGCCATGGGAGGGAAGGGCTTGTTGCCTGCTGTGACGGCCTTGGTGACTGCCGGCTTGGTCTCGTTCTCTGAAGAACATGAGAGGGGAGGGGAGGGTGGGGGGAAGGGGAGGGAGAGGAGTTGCAGCTCACATCACACTCGCGATTGTCAGGGGAGGGAAGGGCTTGTTGCGTTCTGTGATGGCTTTGGTGACTGCCGGCTTGGTTTCATTCTCTGAGGGGGTGAAAGGGTGGGGGGGCGAGGAAGGTAGGATGGAAGAACTGAGGGTGGGTGCGATGAGAATGCCGTTTTTTCCATTTCCACTGGAGCACCGCAGGGAAGGGCTTGTTGCCTGCTGTGATGGCCTTGGTGACTGCCGGCTTGGTCTCGTTCTCTGAAGGGGGAAAAGAGGGGGGTGGGGGAGAGAGGAGAGTGCAGCTTTTGTCACGCCTACCAGAGCACCGCAGGGAAGGGCTTGTTGCCTGCTGTGATGGCCTTGGTGACTGCCGGCTTGGTCTCGTTCTCTGAAGGGGGAAAAGAGGGGGGTGGGGGAGAGGAGAGAGTGCAGCTTTTGTCACGCCTACCAGAGCACCGCAGGGAAGGGCTTGTTGCCTGCTGTGATGGCCTTGGTGACTGCCGGCTTGGTCTCGTTCTCTGAAGGGGGAAAAGAGGGGGGGTGGGGGAGAGAGGAGAGTGCAGCTTTTGTCACGCCTACCAGAGCACCGCAGGGAAGGGCTTGTTGCCTGCTGTGATGGCCTTGGTGACTGCCGGCTTGGTCTCGTTCTCTGAAGGGGGAAAAGAGGGGGGTGGGGGAGAGAGGAGAGTGCAGCTTTTGTCACGCCTACCAGAGCACCGCAGGGAAGGGCTTGTTGCCTGCTGTGATGGCCTTGGTGACTGCCGGCTTGGTCTCGTTCTCTGAAGGGGGAAAAGAGGGGGGTGGGGGAGAGAGGAGAGTGCAGCTTTTGTCACGCCTACCAGAGCACCGCAGGGAAGGGCTTGTTGCCTGCTGTGATGGCCTTGGTGACTGCAGTCTTAGTCTCGCTTTCTGAAAAGGGGGGAAGGGAAGGAGACAAACTGCAGCTCCCTTGCTGTAGCTGGGGTGTGTCAGTATCGGGAGGGAACAGCATCACCACGCGCGTTCCAACATGTACCACATCCATTTGCAGCGCCTCTGCCATTGTCCCTTACCACCTCTAATACACCCCCCGAGAGCCCCTCACACACCTTGCTGCAGCTGAGGCGTGTCAGTATCGGGAGGGAACAGCATCACAACGCGTGTCCCCACATGTACCAACTCCATTTGTAGCGCCTCTGCCAGTGCCCCTCCCACTGCCCCTCCCACTGCCCCTCCCACTGCCCCTCCCACTGCCCCTCCCACTGCCCCTCCCACTGCCCCTCCCACTGCCCCTCCCACTGCCCCTCCCACTGCCCCTCCCACTGCCCCTCCCACTGCCCCTCCCACTGCCCCTCCCACTGCCCCTCCCACTGCCCCTCTCACTGCCCCTCCCACTGCCCCTCCCACTGCCCCTCCCACTGCCCCTCCCACTGCCCCTCCCACTGCCCCTCTCACTGCCCCTCCCACTGCCCCTCCCACTGCCCCTCCCACTGCCCCTCCCACTGCCCCTCCCACTGCCCCTCCCACTGCCCCTCCCACTGCCCCTCCCACTGCCCCTCCCACTGCCCCTCCCACTGCCCCTCCCACTGCCCCTCCCACTGCCCCTCCCACTGCCCCTCCCACTGCCCCTCCCACTGCCCACTGCCCTCCCACTGCCCCTCCCACTGCCCCTCCCACTGCCCCTCCCACTGCCCCTCCCACTGCCCCTCCACTGCCCCTCCCTCCACTGCCCCTCCCACTGCCCCTCCCACTGCCCCTCCCACTGCCCCTCCCACTGCCCCTCCCACTGCCCCTCCCACTGCCCCTCCCACTGCCCCTCCCACTGCCCCTCCCACTGCCCCTCCCACTGCCCCTCCCACTGCCCCTCCCACTGCCCCTCTCACTGCCCCTCCCACTGCCCCTCCCACTGCCCCTCCCACTGCCCCTCCACTGCCCCTCCCACTGCCCCTCCCACTGCCCCTCCCACTGCCCCTCCCACTGCCCCTCTCCACTAGCCCCTCCCACTGCCCCTCCCACTGCCCCTCCCACTGCCCCTCCCACTGCCCTCCCACTGCCCCTCCCACTGCCCCTCCCACTACTGCCCCTCCACTGCCCCTCCCACTGCCCCTCCCACTGCCCATCCCACTGCCCCTCCCACTGCCACCTCCCTCCACTGCCCCTCCCACTGCCCCTCCCACTGCCCCTCCCACTGCCCCTCCCACTGCCCCTCCCACTGCCCCTCCCACTGCACTGCCCCTCCCACTGCCCCTCCCACTGCCCCTCCCACTGCCCCTCCCACTGCCCCTCCCACTGCCCCTCCCACTGCCCCTCCCACTGCCCCTCCCACTGCCCCTCCCACTGCCCCTCCCACTGCCCCTCCCACTGCCCCTCCCACTGCCCCTCCCACTGCCCCTCCCACTGCCCCTCCCACTGCCCCTCCCACTGCCCCTCCCACTGCCCCTCCCACTGCCCCTCCCACTGCCCCTCCCACTGCCCCTCCCACTGCCCCTCCCACTGCCCCTCCCACTGCCCCTCCCACTGCCCCTCCCACTGCCCCTCCCACTGCCCCTCCCACTGCCCCTCCCACTGCCCCTCCCACTGCCCCTCCCACTGCCCCTCCCACTGCCCCTCCCACTGCCCTCCCACTGCCCCTCCCACTGCCCCTCCCACTGCCCCTCCCACTGCCCCTCCCACTGCCCCTCCCACTGCCCCTCCCACTGCCCCTCCCACTGCCCCTCCCACTGCCCCTACCCACTGCCCCTCCCACTGCCCCTCCCACTGCCCCTCCCACTGCCCCTCCCACTGCCCCTCTCCACTGCCCCTCCCACTGCCCCTCCCACTGCCCCTCCCACTGCCCCTCCCACTGCCCCTCCCACTGCCCCTCCCACTGCCCCTCCCACTGCCCCTCCCACTGCCCCTCCCACTGCCCCTCCCACTGCCCCTCCCACTGCCCCTCCCACTGCCCCTCCCACTGCCCCTCCCACTGCCCCTCCCACTGCCCCTCCCACTGCCCCTCCCACTGCCCCTCCCACTGCCCCTCCCACTGCCCCTCCCACTGCCCCTCCCACTGCCCCTCCCACTGCCCCTCCCACTGCCCCTCCCACTGCCCCTCCCACTGCCCCTCCCACTGCCCCTCCCACTGCCCCTCCCACTGCCCCTCCCACTGCCCCTCCCACTGCCCCTCCCACTGCCCCTCCCACTGCCCCTCCCACTGCCCCTCCCACTGCCCCTCCCACTGCCCCTCCCACTGCCCCTCCCACTGCCCCTCCCACTGCCCCTCCCACTGCCCCTCCCACTGCCCCTCCCACTGCCCCTCCACTGCCCTCCCACTGCCCCTCCCACTGCCCCTCCCACTGCCCCTCCCACTGCCCCTCTCACTGCCCCCTCCCACTGCCCCTCTCACTGCCCCTCCCACTGCCCCCTCCCACTGCCCCTCCCACTGCCCCTCCTCACTGCCCCTCCCACTGCCCCTCTCACTGCCCCTCCCACTGCCCTCCCACTGCCCCTCCCACTGCCCCTCCCACTGCCCCTCCCACTGCCCCTCCCACTGCCCCTCCCACTGCCCCTCCCACTGCCCCTCCCACTGCCCCCCCTGCCCCTCCACTGCCCCTCTCACTGCCCCTCCCACTGCCCCTCCCACTGCCCCTCCACTGCCCCTCCCACTGCCCCTCCCACTGCCCCTCCACTGCCCCTCCCACTGCCCCTCTCACTGCCCCTCCCACTGCCCCTCCCACTGCCCCTCCCACTGCCCCTCCCACTGCCCCTCCACTGCCCCTCCCACTGCCCCTCCCACTGCCCCTCCCACTGCCCCTCCCACTGCCCCTCCCACTGCCCTCCCACTGCCCCTCCCACTGCCCCTCCCACTGCCCCTCCCACTGCCCCTCCACTGCCCCTCCCACTGCCCCTCCCACTGCCCCTCCCACTGCCCCTCCCACTGCCCCTGCCAGGCCCCTCATGCTGCTCTGAGGGCGAGCGCACCTTGCTGTCTGCACCTGCCCCTTGCATACCTTGCTGCAGCTGAGGCGTGTCAGTGTCAGGAGGGAACAGCATCACCACCCTCATCGTCCCCACGTGCACCACCTCCATCCCCCACTACCTCTGCCAGCGCCTTCATGAGCAAGGTGAGCGAGGGCTCTCAGAGGTAGGCTGGGCACATGACACGTCCCCACGTGCACCACCTCCATCCCCCACTACCTCTGCCAGCGCCTCTGCCAGCCCCCTCATGTCCCTCTCACGGCAAGCGTACCTCGCTGCGCGTGCCTCTCACCTTGCTGCAATTGAGGTGTGTCAGTGTCAGGAGGGAACAGCATCACCACCCGCGTCCCCACGTGCTCCAGCTCCATCTGCAGCGCCTCTGCCAGCCCTCTTAAAGCGAATTTCGCGGCCGAGTAGGCTGTGTAGCTATAGATACCCACCTGGCAAGGGGAACGGGAATAGGGGAACGGGGCAGGTAAACAAGGGACTTGCAAGTAACCTCGGCGGTTGAGTTGGCTGTGCAGCCGTATATACCCACCTGGAAAGGGGGAGGGGAATAGGGGAACGGGGCAGGAGAACAAGGGACTTCTAAGTGAACCCACAACTCGATTTGGCAGCTGAGTAGGCTGTGTAGCTGAATATACCCACCTGGAAGTGGGGAGAGGAGGAACAAGGGAGTGGGGCAGGTGAACAACGGAATTCTGAGCAGCCTTAGCACTGTAACAGGAGATGGCATGCACTTCTCCCCGCCTATTAATCTGCCTCGTCCCCTCCTTTTGAGTCGACTCAAGAGTAACTTCTGAGCAGCCTCAGCACGGTAACAGGAGATGGCATGCACTTCTCCCCGCCTATTAATCTGCCTCGTTCCCTCCTTTTGAGTCGACTCAAGAGTAACTTCTGAGCAGCCTCAGCACGGTAACAGGAGATGGCATGCACTTCTCCCCGCCTATTAATCTGCCTCGTCCCCTCCTTTTGAGTCGACTCAAGAGTAACTTCTGAGCAGCCTCAGCACGGTAACAGGAGATGGCATGCACTTCTCCCCGCCTATTAATCTGCCTCGTCCCCTCCTTTTGAGTCGACTCAAGAGTAACTTCTGAGCAGCCTCAGCACGGTAACAGGAGATGGCATGCACTTCTCCCCGCCTATTAATCTGCCTCGTCCCCTCCTTTTGAGTCGACTCAAGAGTAACTTCTTAGCAGCCTCAGCACAGTAACAGGAGATGGCATGCACTTCTCCCCGCCAACTGAGGTGACATTTGAGTCGACTCAAAAGTCACCTCAGTATAACGTCACACAATGTTTTGAGTCGACTCAAAAGTAACTTCTGAGCAGCCTCAGCATTGAAACAGGAGATGGCAAGCACTTCCCCCCGCCAACTTGAAAATCACTTTTGAGAATTCTCAAAAGTGCACTTCTCCCCGCCTACTCATCTGCCTCGTCCCCTCTCCCCCCCTCCGCTCCCTCTTTCCCCTCTCACCTGCCCTGCCTGAGACGACACCAGCATTATCCGCCCCTCCTTGCCCGCCCTCTTCACGGCTGGCAGGGCTGCTCTAATCACATAGCCTCTCTGCTTCTGCTCATGCCCAGTGCAGCCCTCCTATCACCCTTTCTCTCTCACCTGCCCTGCTTGTGACGACACCAGCATTATCCGCCCCTCCTTGCCCGCCCTCTTCACGGCTGGCAGGGCTGCTCTAATCACATAGCCTCTCTGCTTCTGCTCATGCCCAGTGCAGCCCTCCTATCACCCTTTCTCTCTCACCTGCCCTGCTTGTGACGACACCAGCATTATCCGTCCCTCCTTGCCAGCCCTCTTCACTGCTGGCAGGGCTGCTCGGATCACATACACCGACGCCCAGTAGTTGACATTCATGAGCTGATGGGGTGGGAAGAGGGGAGAGGACGTGGGGTGCGTTGAGCGGTGGAAGAGGGGAATGCGAGGAACAACACAAGGGGAAGCAGGGCTGCTCGGATGACATACACCGACGCCCAGTGCTTTGACGTTCATGAGCTGATAGGGGGAAGGAGGGGGAGGGGGATGGGGGTAGTATGGGAAATGAGGATTGTTGTAACAAGTTAAAGCAGGGCTGCTCGTATGACATGCACTGACGCCCAGTAGTTGACGTTCATGAGCTGATATGGGAGGGGAGGGGGGGGGGGGGATGCGTTGAGGGTAAAGTGGGTATTCACAAGCCAAAGAACCAGAGCGAAGCAGGGCTGCTCGGATGACATACACAGACGCCCAGTAGTTGACGTTCATGAGCTGATGGGGTAGAAGGGGAGGTGGGGAGGGGGGAAAAGGGGGAGGGGGATGCGGATTGTTATTCTTCCCTCCTTGCCCGCCCTCTTTTGAGGCGCCTCAAAAGCCCTCTTCACAGCTGGCAGGGCTGCTGGGATGACTGACATACACAGACGCCCAGTAGTTGACGTTCATGAGCTGATGGGGGAGGGGGGGAAGGGTGGGGGGTATTGCATTGAAGAGGGAGGGGAATAATAAGACAGAGCACCAGGGGAAGCAGGGCTACTCTCCTTGGATCACATACACAGACGCCCAGTAGTTGACGTTCATGAGCTGATGAGGGAGGGGGGAAGCACAGGAAATACCAGGAACAGCGCAAGGGGGAAGCAGGGCTGCTCGGGTCACATAGACTGACGCCCGGTAGTTGACGTTCATGAGCTGATGGGGGAGGGGGGAGAAGGTGGGGTGTTGTGCATTGAAGAGGGAGGGTATTACGAGACAAAGCACAAGGGGAAGCAGGGCTGCTCGGGTCACACAAACTGACGCCCATACTATGATGTTCATGGGCTGATGGGGAGAGGGAGAGAAGGGAGGGGAAGGGGGGTGCGTTGAACAGTGGAAGAGGGAAATGCGAGGAACAACACAATGGGAAACAGGGCTGCTCGGGTCACACAAACGGACGCCCATACTTCGACGTTCATGGGCTGATGGGGCTGAAAAGGAAGGGGGGGGTTTGAAGGGAAACATTGAGGGGTGGAAGACAAAGCAGCAGGGGTGTTTGTGCTGCTCGGGTCACACAAACGGACGCCCAGTACTTTGCACGTTCATGGGCTGATGGGGGGAGGGGGAGAGGGGAGGGGAAGGGGGGTGCGTTGAACAGTGGAAGAGGCAAATGCGAGGAACAACACAATGGGAAGCAGGGCTGCTCGGGTCACACAAACTGACGCCCAGTACTTTGATTTGACGTTCATGGGCTGATGGGGTGGGGGTTGTAGTGAGGAATGGGGGTGAGGTGGTGCATTGAGGGAGGAGGAGGGGAATACAAGGAGCAGCACAAGGGGAACCAGGGCCATTCAGATGAAAGAGACTGACGCCCAGCATGTGAGCGTTCTGTACACACACACTCTTACTAGCTGGTTTTTGAGAATTCTCAAAAACCAGGGCCATTCAGATGAAAGAGACTGACGCCCAGCATGTGAGCGTTCTGTACACACACACTCTTACTAGCTGGTTTTTGAGAATTCTCAAAAACCAGGGCCATTCAGATGAAAGAGACTGACGCCCAGCATGTGAGCGTTCTGTACACACACACTCTTACTAGCTGGTTTTTGAGAATTCTCAAAAACCAGGGCCATTCAGATGAAAGAGACTGACGCCCAGCATGTGAGCGTTCTGTACACACACACTCTTACTAGCTGGTTTTTGAGAATTCTCAAAAACCAGGGCCATTCAGATGAAAGAGACTGACGCCCAGCATGTGAGCGTTCTGTACACACACACTCTTACTAGCTGGTTTTTGAGAATTCTCAAAAACCAGGGCCATTCAGATGAAAGAGACTGACGCCCAGCATGTGAGCGTTCTGTACACACACACTCTTACTAGCTGGTTTTTGAGAATTCTCAAAAACCAGGGCCATTCAGATGAAAGAGACTGACGCCCAGCATGTGAGCGTTCTGTACACACACACTCTTACTAGCTGGTTTTTGAGAATTCTCAAAAACCAGGGCCATTCAGATGAAAGAGACTGACGCCCAGCATGTGAGCGTTCTGTACACACACACTTATGGAGGCGAGTTTTGCGGCGCCTCCAAACTCGCCTCAGTAGTGGCCGTTCCATACACACACTTATCAGCCGCTCCTCCTTACCTGCTGCTGTGCTGAGTCCTCGCACGCACCTGCTGCTGGTTCTCCACCGTATCAAACTCAAAATTGATGCGGGGTGCTCTGCCCCAAACGTCAGATGACCACACCTCCCCTGCTTCTCCCTAGACACTCACCTGCTGCTCCTCACACACTGAAATGCTGCTGCGCACCTGTTGCTGGTTCTCCACAGTATCAAACTCAAATTGATGCGGGGTGCTCTGCCCCTGGCAGCAAATCACCACATCCAGCCGTCCAAACGCGGCCACCACCTGATCAACGGCTCTCTTTGCATCGTCCGGATTCGCCGCATCGGCCGCCACAGACAAGAGGAAATCGGATGAGGGCGTATCAGGTGGAAGCAAGGCTTCTAGCTGGGCGGGGGATGAACATGAATGGGAGAGGGAACGGGGGAGAGGAGGGTTCTTGAGTCGACTCAAAAGTCGCCGCATCGGCCGCCGCCACGGACAGGAGGAAATCGGATGAGGGAGTGTCGGGTGGAAGCAAGGCTTTTAGCTGGGAGGGGCGAAGGAGCAAAAGAGGGCGAGGGAGGGACAGGATGATGGAAAACAAGGTAAAACTTGATCCCACAACAGCTAAAGACAAAGAGGAGGTTCCCACAGATGAGTTTTGAGGCGCCTCAAAACTCGTCTCATGTAAAGAGGAGCTCAGGAGAGAGGGTGTCGGTTGGAAGCGCATTCATTGACTGCATTCTTCTCATGCACACACCCACACACAGCCACTGAAGCATGCATGCATGTACACACCTTGATGATGACTGCATGCAAACCCTGATTGCAGCACCCACCTGCTTGTGAGCAGAGGGCAACCGCTCCTTATTGCGAGCAACGATCGCCACCCTCGCTCCCTGCTTCACTGCCAGTTCCCCATGCACAGCCCACCCCTCGTGCATCCTGCTGAAGCATCATGCGGCACCGCTAAAGGCACCCACCTGCTTTTGTGCGGAGGCTAGTCTCTCCTTATTGCGAGCAACGATCGCCACCCTCGCTCCCTGCTGCACTGCCAGTTCCCACAGCCCTGTGCCAATCGACCCACCCACTATCTAATCCGTGCTGAATGCGAGCAAGCCCTGATTGCAGCACCCACCTGCTTGTGTGCTGAGGCCAGTCTCTCCTTGTTGCGAGCAACAACCGCCACTCTCGCTCCCTGCTGCACTGCCAGTTCCCCCATGCACAGCCCACCCCCCGTGCATTTATGCGCGCGAAGGCATGAGGTGACACAGCTAAAAGCACCCACCTGCTTGTGTGCTGAGGCCAGTCTCTCCTTGTTGCGCGCAACAACCGCCACTCTCGCTCCCTGCTGCACTGCCAGTTCCCCCATGCACAGCCCACCCCCCGTGCATTTATGCGCGCGAAGGCATGAGGTGACACAGCTAAAAGCACCCACCTGCTTGTGTGCTGAGGCCAGTCTCTCCTTGTTGCGAGCAACAACCGCCACTCTCGCTCCCTGCTGCACTGCCAGTTCCCCCATGCACAGCCCACCCCCCGTGCATTTATGCGCGCGAAGGCATGAGGTGACACAGCTAAAAGCACCCACCTGCTTGTGTGCTGAGGCCAGTCTCTCCTTGTTGCGCGCAACAACCGCCACTCTCGCTCCCTGCTGCACTGCCAGTTCCCCCATGCACAGCCCACCCCCCGTGCATTTATGCGCACGAAGGCATGAGGTGACACAGCTAAAAGCACCCACCTGCTTGTGTGCTGAGGCCAGTCTCTCCTTGTTGCGAGCAACAACCGCCACTCTCGCTCCCTGCTGCACTGCCAGTTCCCCCATGCACAGCCCACCCCCCGTGCATTTATGCGCGCGAAGGCATGAGGTGACACAGCTAAAAGCACCCACCTGCTTGTGTGCTGAGGCCAGTCTCTCCTTGTTGCGCGCAACAACCGCCACTCTCGCTCCCTGCTGCACTGCCAGTTCCCCCATGCACAGCCCACCCCCCGTGCATTTATGCGCGCGAAGGCATGAGGTGACACAGCTAAAAGCACCCACCTGCTTGTGTGCTGAGGCCAGTCTCTCCTTGTTGCGCGCAACAACCGCCACTCTTGCTCCCTGCTGCACTGCCAGTTCCCCCATGCACAGCCCACCCCCCGTGCATTTATGCGCGCGAAGGCATGAGGTGACACAGCTAAAAGCACCCACCTGCTTGTGTGCTGAGGCCAGTCTCTCCTTGTTGTGCGCAACAACCGCCACTCTTGCTCCCTGCTGCACTGCCAGTTCCCCCATGCACAGCCCACCCCCCGTGCATTTATGCGCGCGAAGGCATGAGGTGACACAGCTAAAAGCACCCACCTGCTTGTGTGCTGAGGCCAGTCTCTCCTTGTTGCGCGCAACAACCGCCACTCTCGCTCCCTGCTGCACTGCCAGTTCCCCCATGCACAGCCCACCCCCCATGCATTTATGCGCGCGAAGGCATGAGGTGACACAGCTAAAAGCACCCACCTGCTTGTGTGCTGAGGCCTGTCTCTCCTTGTTGCGCGCAACAACCGCCACTCTCGCTCCCTGCTGCACTGCCAGTTCCCCCATGCACAGCCCACCCCCCGTGCATTTATGCGCGCGAAGGCATGAGGTGACACAGCTAAAAGCACCCACCTGCTTGTGTGCTGAGGCCAGTCTCTCCTTGTTGCGCGCAACAACCGCCACTCTCGCTCCCTGCTGCACTGCCAGTTCCCCCATGCACAGCCCACCCCCCGTGCATTTATGCGCGCGAAGGCATGAGGTGACACAGCTAAAAGCACCCACCTGCTTGTGTGCTGAGGCCAGTCTCTCCTTGTTGCGCGCAACGATCGCCACCCTCGCCCCCTGCCGCACTGCCAACTCCCCCATGCACAGCCCACCCCCCGTGCATTTATGCGCACGAAGGCATGAGGTGACACAGCTAAAAGCACCCACCTGCTTGTGTGCTGAGGCCAGTCTCTCCTTGTTGCGCGCAACAACCGCCACTCTCGCTCCCTGCTGCACTGCCAGTTCCCCCATGCACAGCCCACCCCCCGTGCATTTATGCGCGCGAAGGCATGAGGTGACACAGCTAAAAGCACCCACCTGCTTGTGTGCTGAGGCCAGTCTCTCCTTGTTGCGCGCAACAACCGCCACTCTCGCTCCCTGCTGCACTGCCAGTTCCCCCATGCACAGCCCACCCCCCGTGCATTTATGCGCGCGAAGGCATGAGGTGACACAGCTAAAAGCACCCACCTGCTTGTGTGCTGAGGCCTGTCTCTCCTTGTTGCGCGCAACAACCGCCACTCTCGCTCCCTGCTGCACTGCCAGTTCCCCCATGCACAGCCCACCCCCCGTGCATTTATGCGCGCGAAGGCATGAGGTGACACAGCTAAAAGCACCCACCTGCTTGTGTGCTGAGGCCAGTCTCTCCTTGTTGCGCGCAACAACCGCCACTCTCGCTCCCTGCTGCACTGCCAGTTCCCCCATGCACAGCCCACCCCCCGTGCATTTATGCGCGCGAAGGCATGAGGTGACACAGCTAAAAGCACCCACCTGCTTGTGTGCTGAGGCCAGTCTCTCCTTGTTGCGCGCAACGATCGCCACCCTCGCCCCCTGCCGCACTGCCAACTCCCCCATGCACAGCCCACCCCCCGTGCATTTATGCGCACGAAGGCATGAGGTGACACAGCTAAAAGCACCCACCTGCTTGTGTGCTGAGGCCAGTCTCTCCTTGTTGCGCGCAACAACCGCCACTCTCGCTCCCTGCTGCACTGCCAGTTCCCCCATGCACAGCCCACCCCCCGTGCATTTATGCGCGCGAAGGCATGAGGTGACACAGCTAAAAGCACCCACCTGCTTGTGTGCTGAGGCCAGTCTCTCCTTGTTGCGCGCAACAACCGCCACTCTCGCTCCCTGCTGCACTGCCAGTTCCCCCATGCACAGCCCACCCCCCGTGCATTTATGCGCGCGAAGGCATGAGGTGACACAGCTAAAAGCACCCACCTGCTTGTGTGCTGAGGCCTGTCTCTCCTTGTTGCGCGCAACAACCGCCACTCTCGCTCCCTGCTGCACTGCCAGTTCCCCCATGCACAGCCCACCCCCCGTGCATTTATGCGCGCGAAGGCATGAGGTGACACAGCTAAAAGCACCCACCTGCTTGTGTGCTGAGGCCAGTCTCTCCTTGTTGCGCGCAACAACCGCCACTCTCGCTCCCTGCTGCACTGCCAGTTCCCCCATGCACAGCCCACCCCCCGTGCATTTATGCGCGCGAAGGCATGAGGTGACACAGCTAAAAGCACCCACCTGCTTGTGTGCTGAGGCCAGTCTCTCCTTGTTGCGCGCAACAACCGCCACTCTCGCTCCCTGCTGCACTGCCAGTTCCCCCATGCACAGCCCACCCCCCGTGCATTTATGCGCGCGAAGGCATGAGGTGACACAGCTAAAAGCACCCACCTGCTTGTGTGCTGAGGCCAGTCTCTCCTTGTTGCGCGCAACAATCGCCACCCTCGCCCCCTGCCGCACTGCCAACTCCCCCATGCACAGCCCTATACCGCTCGAACCACCCACTATCAGCACGGCCTTGCCCTGTGGGGGTTGGGGATGGGAGGAGGAGAGAGAGAGAGGGGGGAGGCCTGATTGCGTCACTGCCAGTTCCCCTACGCACAGCCCAATGCCGCTCAACCCACCCACCACCCACTATCAGCACGGCCTTGCCCTGTGGGGTGTGGGACGGAATGGGGTAGGCACGTGGAAGGCGCAGCAGAGAGGGAGCGCCACAAGCGAAGGAAGGCAGTGCCAGTTCCCCCATGCACAGCCCTATGCTGCTCGAACCACCCACTATCAGCACAGCCTTGCCCTGAGGGGTGTGTGGCGCATGGTGGGTGTGTGGGGTGTGTGAGGGAGAAAATGGAAAGCCCTTGCTCCACTGCCAATTTCCCCATGCACAGCCCTATGCCGCTCGAACCACCCACTATCAGCACGGTCTTTCCCTGTGGGGGTTCGAGATAGGAAGAGGAGATAGGAAGAGGAGATAGATAGAGAGAGGGGAGGCCTAACTGCGTCAGTACCAGTTCCCCTACGCACACCCCAATGCCGCTCGAACCACCCACTATCAGCACGGTCTTTCCCTGTGGGGTGTGGGACGGAATAGGGTAGGCACGTGGAAGGCGCAGCAGTGAGGGAGTGCCACAAGCGAAGGAAAGCACAACCAGTTCTCCCATGCACAGCCCTATGCCGCTCGAACCACCCACTATCAGCACAGCCTTGCCCTGAGGGGTGTGTGGGGTGTGTGGCGCATGGTGGGTGTGTGGGGCGTGTGGGGCGTGTGAGGGAGAAAATGCAAAGCGCTTGCTCCAGTGCCAAATTCCCCATGCACAGCCCTATGCCGCTCGAACCACCCACTATCAGCTTGGCTTTGGCCGTGGGTGGGGTGTGTGGGAAGGAACGCGGGCGGAGCAGTAGTGAAGGAGAAAAGGGAAACATTTTGCACCACTGCCACTTCCCGTATGCACTTTCGAGGATTATCAAAAGCTGCTGACTGCCACTGCTCCTATGACAACCCTATGCCGCTAAAGCCATATCGCGGAAAAGAAATGGGCCGAATTTTCGAGAAATGTGACAAAAAGGTGACGCATTGTACGCGATACTAAGTCGACATTTCACACTCTCACCTTCAACGAGATTCGCTTTGGCCGGCAAGCCCACGCGAGGATCTCAAACGAAATCACTATAACAGAGATCGTAACCAGTATCCACGCCCACCATTCCCCCATTTTGAATCTCGACTCTCGTCCTGATTCGCGCGTAGATAACGGAATACACCGTAATGTAACTAACTGGTGGTAACCAACCACGGATCGCGACGGAAAAATGCTCAATCTGTTTGCTCAACGGTTATATTTCCGTCGAATTCGAGAACCAGTTTAGGAGATTAGGCATTCGACGACGCGACCCGCCCTGAAAGTTCTCTCTCGCAGTGCGAACTGATACGGACTGAACGGCCGCGATGCAGCCGCACTGGGGAGGACTGCTTATAGCCGGTAGATTAGATATTTATTTGGGTGCTCACGGTGAACGATCAGTTCAAAAGCGGAACCTTGATTGGACGACGTTGTCCCTGAACGCACTGCTATGACGACGCAACTACACTCTGAAAGTCTGCAAATCCTATTTACAAATGCCACTACACTGATTTCTCATAATATTTCATAATTTCCATAACTAATTGATCCATCGGAGCACCTCATTGTGCAAACAAGGGTAACACCAGCGAGAGGTAAAATTATATAACCTGATGGAGTGTCAACGCAAAGAATAACCCTTTCCAGAAAAGGCTTGGAAGGATGGCTTTTGTGGCTCTTCCTTCTGAGGCTCCTCCTTTTTCTTTGGGGCCTGCACGCAGAGAATACATGATTCTTATATATTGATACGACGAGAAGATATGTATGTATATATCACACGCAATTATGTGCGTGCATCCCCACCTACACATTCACCAATAAAATCTTACCAAGTGCCACAACATGTACCACACCATAAAGCATCATACATATATCACTATGTACACATCCCCTTACACCTTGCCACACCGTACTCAACCACATACCTTGGGACCTGCATCTCCCGAAGCCAAATACCAGCCACCCCTCGTTTCTCCCCCCACTCACTGCACCAGCAGCACCAGCACCCACAACCCCAGCACCACCAGCACCGTTACCACCAGCACACACACACACTCATCACCCTACACCATACCTCACCGCACTCAACCACGTACCTTGGGACCCGCTCGTGGTGCTCCGTCTCCCGACCCAAACACCAGCCGACCCTCCTTCCTTCCCCCACTCGCTGCACCGGCAGCACCAGCAGCACCACCCGCACTACTACTCCCAGCGCCACCACCACTGCTACGAGCCCCACTGGCCCCGCCTGCCCCAGATACGCCCTCCCTGGATGCTGCTGACGTGGCAGCTGCTGACGTGGCAGGGGAGGAGGGGGAGGCTGCTGGGCGGCCGTCCAATCGCCTGCCGGTGCCGACGAATGGCGTGAAGGCGGGCTCCTCGGGTGGGGGGGCTGCTTCTGATTGGTTGAGAAGAGAGAAACAAGCAGGGGAGTGTGGGAGAGGGCATACGCAAGGGAGCGGCGGAGGGTGTGGCGGGCCGGGGGGTACGGAAAATGGCATGAAGGTGGGCTCCTTAAGTGGAAGTGGTCTGTCGGATTGGTTGAGATGAGAGAAAAGCATGGGCGGGGTGTGGGAAAGGGGGGGAAAGGGGGGGAAAGGAAGGTCCAAGTAAGGAGGGGAACAAGTGGTGTGAAGGTGGGCTGCTTTGCATCTGTTTGGTGTGAGAACCTACTTTTGAGGCGCCTCAAGAATTGGAACCAGCACCAGCACTACCAGCTACTGCTCCTTCACCTGCCAATGTTGGGAATCGCTGGGGCTCGACACAATCGAGGGGCGGAGCGACTTTTGAGTCAACTCAAAAGGCACTAGCAGCTACTGCTCCTTCACCTGCCGATGTTGGGAATCGCTGGGGCTCGACATAATCGAGGGGCGGAACAAAGTCCACCTCACAATCCCATGAGCCAAGTCTTGATGATGGAAACGGCTGCAGCTGGGCGTGCATCCCCATGCCCGTGGCCCGCTCTCTCCCTCTCGCGCCTTCCACATACCTGCTTCGGCGTCCTTCCCAGCGCTCTTCCTCCCTCCAGCTTCAGAGGCACAACCAGCAGCACCGGCAGAAGCTGCTGCTGCTGCTGCTGGGCGTGCATCCACATACCCACTCTTTCTCCTTCCACACACCTGCTTTTCCGCCCTTCCCAGCGCTCTTCTTCCCTCCAGCTTCAGAGGCACAACCAGCAGCACCGGCAGAAGCTGCTGCTGCTGCTGCTGGGCGTGCATCCACATACCCACTCTTTCTCCTTCCACACACCTGCTTTTCCGCCCTTCCCAGCGCTCTTCTTCCCTCCAGCTTCAGAGGCACAACCAGCAGCACCGGCAGAAGCTGCTGCTGCTGCTGCTGGGCGTGCATCCACATACCCACTCTTTCTCCTTCCACACACCTGCTTTTCCGCCCTTCCCAGCGCTCTTCTTCCCTCCAGCTTCAGAACCGCCGGCACCGGCACCGACAGAAGCTGCTGCTAATTCCACACACACCTGCTCATGCCTGCCCTCTCTGTCTCTCTGTTTCATTCCTCCCACATACCTGCTTTTCCGTCCTTCCCAGCGCCCTTCTTCCCTCCAGCTTCAGAGCCGCCGGCAGCAGCAGCAGCAGCAGCAGGTGCTTTAACGGGTGTAGGCACTCGTTCCGGCTCCACATAATCGAGGGGCGGCGCAAAGTCCACTTCACAATCCGTCTCGATAATGGAGATGGCTGCAGCTGGGCGCGCATCCACCACGTCTATGAAGTAGCGCTTGTTGTTGTATGCCACCATGATGCTCTCCCCCTTCGTCAAGCAGGAGAAGCTTCGCAGAGTCATCTCGAGCCTATAAAGGAGATAAAGGGGAGGGAGAGGGCCGGGTGGAGAAATAGGGAGGTTTGAGATGACTGCAGCTGGGTGCGCTTCTATGAAGTAGCGCTTGTTGTTGTATGCAACCATGATGCTCTCCCCTTTCGTCAAGCAGGAGAACGAACGCAGGGTCATCTCCGGCCTGCAAAGGGGGGACGCAGGGGACGCACAGGGGGAGGGGGAAAGGGGAGAAGGGGTTAAGGGGTAGGACTAAAGCAAGAGGCAGCTGGGCGTGCATCCAAGACATCAAGTGGGCATTTCCAGGTTGTGTGGCAACTGAGCAGGCGGGGCACGCATGGGACAAAGGGGGGGAGGGGGCAGAGGGGGGAAGGGGGATGCTCTCCCCTTTCGTGAGGCACGAGAAGCTGCGCAGCGTCATTTCCAGGCTGTGTGGCAAGTGGGCAGGCGGGGCACGCAGGGGACGCACAGGGGGAGGGGGAAAGGGGAGAAGGGGTTAAGGGGTAGGACTAAAGCAAGAGGCAGCTGGGCGTGCATCCAAGACATCAAGTGGGCATTTCCAGGTTGTGTGGCAACTGGGCACGCGGGGCAACTTTTGAGTCGACTCAAAAGTCAAAAGTCATCTTTTGAGTTGACTCAAGAATGCATCCACGACATCAAGAGGGCATTTCCAGGCTGTGTGGCAAGTGGGCAGGCGGGGCACGCATGGGCCAAAGGGGGGGAGAGGGCAGAGGGGGGAAGGGGGGAAATCCTTGGTGTGTGGCTGCAGCTTCACGTAGGTGCCCTTGGGGAGAGAGGGACGGGCTGGGACACTACTGCTCCCCTCCACCACCAAGCACATCCCATACAGTCACACTCACACCCACATCTCTCACAATCACAGTCACACAGGAACACCCCCTACAAGAATGCTACTCACACGGCCTTGGGGTTGGAGATATCTAGAAAGTCCTTGGTGTGTGGCTGCAGCTTCACGTAGGTTCCCTTGGGGAGAGTGACGACACTGTCCCGCCCACCAATAAGCACATCACACACCATTACAGTCACACCCCCTACAAGAATGCTACTCACACGGCCTTGGGGTTGGAGATATCTAGAAAGTCCTTGGTGTGTGGCTGCAGCTTCACGTAGGTTCCCTTGGGGAGAGTGACGACACTGTCCCACCCACCAATAAGCACATCACACACCATTACAGTCACACCCCCTACAAGAATGCTACTCACACGGCCTTGGGGTTGGAGATATCTAGAAAGTCCTTGGTGTGTGGCTGCAGCTTCACGTAGGTTCCCTTGGGGAGAGTGACGACACTGTCCCGCCCACCAATAAGCACATCACACACCATTACAGTCACACCCCCTACAAGAATGCTACTCACACGGCCTTGGGGTTGGAGATATCTAGAAAGTCCTTGGTGTGTGGCTGCAGCTTCACGTAGGTTCCCTTGGGGAGAGTGACGACACTGTCCCGCCCACCAATAAGCACATCACACACCATTACAGTCACACCCCCTACAAGAATGCTACTCACACGGCCTTGGGGTTGGAGATATCTAGAAAGTCCTTGGTGTGTGGCTGCAGCTTCACGTAGGTTCCCTTGGGGAGAGTGACGACACTGTCCCGCCCACCAATAAGCACATCACACACCATTACAGTCACACCCCCTACAAGAATGCTACTCACACGGCCTTGGGGTTGGAGATATCTAGAAAGTCCTTGGTGTGTGGCTGCAGCTTCACGTAGGTTCCCTTGGGGAGAGTGACGACACTGTCCCGCCCACCAATAAGCACATCACACACCATTACAGTCACACCCCCTACAAGAATGCTACTCACACGGCCTTGGGGTTGGAGATATCTAGAAAGTCCTTGGTGTGTGGCTGCAGCTTCACGTAGGTTCCCTTGGGGAGAGTGACGACACTGTCCCGCCCACCAATAAGCACATCACACACCATTACAGTCACACCCCCTACAAGAATGCTACTCACACGGCCTTGGGGTTGGAGATATCTAGAAAGTCCTTGGTGTGTGGCTGCAGCTTCACGTAGGTTCCCTTGGGGAGAGTGACGACACTGTCCCGCCCACCAATAAGCACATCACACACCATTACAGTCACACCCCCTACAAGAATGCTACTCACACGGCCTTGGGGTTGGAGATATCTAGAAAGTCCTTGGTGTGTGGCTGCAGCTTCACGTAGGTTCCCTTGGGGAGAGTGACGACACTGTCCCGCCCACCAATAAGCACATCACACACCATTACAGTCACACCCCCTACAAGAATGCTACTCACACGGCCTTGGGGTTGGAGATATCTAGAAAGTCCTTGGTGTGTGGCTGCAGCTTCACGTAGGTTCCCTTGGGGAGAGTGACGACACTGTCCCGCCCACCAATAAGCACATCACACACCATTACAGTCACACCCCCTACAAGAATGCTACTCACACGGCCTTGGGGTTGGAGATATCTAGAAAGTCCTTGGTGTGTGGCTGCAGCTTCACGTAGGTTCCCTTGGGGAGAGTGACGACACTGTCCCGCCCACCAATAAGCACATCACACACCATTACAGTCACACCCCCTACAAGAATGCTACTCACACGGCCTTGGGGTTGGAGATATCTAGAAAGTCCTTGGTGTGTGGCTGCAGCTTCACGTAGGTTCCCTTGGGGAGAGTGACGACACTGTCCCGCCCACCAATAAGCACATCACACACCATTACAGTCACACCCCCTACAAGAATGCTACTCACACGGCCTTGGGGTTGGAGATATCTAGAAAGTCCTTGGTGTGTGGCTGCAGCTTCACGTAGGTTCCCTTGGGGAGAGTGACGACACTGTCCCGCCCACCAATAAGCACATCACACACCATTACAGTCACACCCCCTACAAGAATGCTACTCACACGGCCTTGGGGTTGGAGATATCTAGAAAGTCCTTGGTGTGTGGCTGCAGCTTCACGTAGGTTCCCTTGGGGAGAGTGACGACACGGTCCAGCCCACCAATAAGCACATCACACACCATTACAGTCACACCCCCTACAAGAATGCTACTCACACGGCCTTGGGGTTGGAGATATCTAGAAAGTCCTTGGTGTGTGGCTGCAGCTTCACGTAGGTTCCCTTGGGGAGAGTGACGACACTGTCCCGCCCACCAATAAGCACATCACACACCATTACAGTCACACCCCCTACAAGAATGCTACTCACACGGCCTTGGGGTTGGAGATATCTAGAAAGTCCTTGGTGTGTGGCTGCAGCTTCACGTAGGTTCCCTTGGGGAGAGTGACGACACTGTCCCGCCCACCAATAAGCACATCACACACCATTACAGTCACACCCCCTACAAGAATGCTACTCACACGGCCTTGGGGTTGGAGATATCGAGAAAGTCCTTGGTGTGTGGCTGCAGCTTCACGTAGGTTCCCTTGGGGAGAGTGACGACACTGTCCCGCCCACCAATAAGCACATCACACACCATTACAGTCACACCCCCTACAAGAATGCTACTCACACGGCCTTGGGGTTGGAGATATCTAGAAAGTCCTTGGTGTGTGGCTGCAGCGTCACGTAGGTTCCCTTGGGGAGAGTGACGACACTGTCCCGCCCACCAATAAGCACATCACACACCATTACAGTCACACCCCCTACAAGAATGCTACTCACACGGCCTTGGGGTTGGAGATATCTAGAAAGTCCTTGGTGTGTGGCTGCAGCTTCACGTAGGTTCCCTTGGGGAGAGTGACGACACTGTCCCGCCCACCAATAAGCACATCACACACCATTACAGTCACACCCCCTACAAGAATGCTACTCACACGGCCTTGGGGTTGGAGATATCTAGAAAGTCCTTGGTGTGTGGCTGCAGCTTCACGTAGGTTCCCTTGGGGAGAGTGACGACACTGTCCCGCCCACCAATAAGCACATCACACACCATTACAGTCACACCCCCTACAAGAATGCTACTCACACGGCCTTGGGGTTGGAGATATCGAGAAAGTCCTTGGTGTGTGGCTGCAGCTTCACGTAGGTTCCCTTGGGGAGAGTGACGACACTGTCCCGCCCACCAATAAGCACATCACACACCATTACAGTCACACCCCCTACAAGAATGCTACTCACACGGCCTTGGGGTTGGAGATATCTAGAAAGTCCTTGGTGTGTGGCTGCAGCTTCACGTAGGTTCCCTTGGGGAGAGTGACGACACTGTCCCGCCCACCAATAAGCACATCACACACCATTACAGTCACACCCCCTACAAGAATGCTACTCACACGGCCTTGGGGTTGGAGATATCTAGAAAGTCCTTGGTGTGTGGCTGCAGCTTCACGTAGGTTCCCTTGGGGAGAGTGACGACACTGTCCCGCCCACCAATAAGCACATCACACACCATTACAGTCACACCCCCTACAAGAATGCTACTCACACGGCCTTGGGGTTGGAGATATCTAGAAAGTCCTTGGTGTGTGGCTGCAGCTTCACGTAGGTTCCCTTGGGGAGAGTGACGACACTGTCCCGCCCACCAATAAGCACATCACACACCATTACAGTCACACCCCCTACAAGAATGCTACTCACACGGCCTTGGGGTTGGAGATATCTAGAAAGTCCTTGGTGTGTGGCTGCAGCTTCACGTAGGTTCCCTTGGGGAGAGTGACGACACTGTCCCGCCCACCAATAAGCACATCACACACCATTACAGTCACACCCCCTACAAGAATGCTACTCACACGGCCTTGGGGTTGGAGATATCTAGAAAGTCCTTGGTGTGTGGCTGCAGCTTCACGTAGGTTCCCTTGGGGAGAGTGACGACACTGTCCCGCCCACCAATAAGCACATCACACACCATTACAGTCACACCCCCTACAAGAATGCTACTCACACGGCCTTGGGGTTGGAGATATCTAGAAAGTCCTTGGTGTGTGGCTGCAGCTTCACGTAGGTTCCCTTGGGGAGAGTGACGACACTGTCCCGCCCACCAATAAGCACATCACACACCATTACAGTCACACCCCCTACAAGAATGCTACTCACACGGCCTTGGGGTTGGAGATATCTAGAAAGTCCTTGGTGTGTGGCTGCAGCTTCACGTAGGTTCCCTTGGGGAGAGTGACGACACTGTCCCGCCCACCAATAAGCACATCACACACCATTACAGTCACACCCCCTACAAGAATGCTACTCACACGGCCTTGGGGTTGGAGATATCGAGAAAGTCCTTGGTGTGTGGCTGCAGCTTCACGTAGGTTCCCTTGGGGAGAGTGACGACACTGTCCCGCCCACCAATAAGCACATCACACACCATTACAGTCACACCCCCTACAAGAATGCTACTCACACGGCCTTGGGGTTGGAGATATCTAGAAAGTCCTTGGTGTGTGGCTGCAGCTTCACGTAGGTTCCCTTGGGGAGAGTGACGACACTGTCCCGCCCACCAATAAGCACATCACACACCATTACAGTCACACCCCCTACAAGAATGCTACTCACACGGCCTTGGGGTTGGAGATATCTAGAAAGTCCTTGGTGTGTGGCTGCAGCTTCACGTAGGTTCCCTTGGGGAGAGTGACGACACTGTCCCGCCCACCAATAAGCACATCACACACCATTACAGTCACACCCCCTACAAGAATGCTACTCACACGGCCTTGGGGTTGGAGATATCTAGAAAGTCCTTGGTGTGTGGCTGCAGCTTCACGTAGGTTCCCTTGGGGAGAGTGACGACACTGTCCCGCCCACCAATAAGCACATCACACACCATTACAGTCACACCCCCTACAAGAATGCTACTCACACGGCCTTGGGGTTGGAGATATCGAGAAAGTCCTTGGTGTGTGGCTGCAGCTTCACGTAGGTTCCCTTGGGGAGAGTGACGACACTGTCCCGCCCACCAATAAGCACATCACACACCATTACAGTCACACCCCCTACAAGAATGCTACTCACACGGCCTTGGGGTTGGAGATATCTAGAAAGTCCTTGGTGTGTGGCTGCAGCTTCACGTAGGTTCCCTTGGGGAGAGTGACGACACTGTCCCGCCCACCAATAAGCACATCACACACCATTACAGTCACACCCCCTACAAGAATGCTACTCACACGGCCTTGGGGTTGGAGATATCTAGAAAGTCCTTGGTGTGTGGCTGCAGCTTCACGTAGGTTCCCTTGGGGAGAGTGACGACACTGTCCCGCCCACCAATAAGCACATCACACACCATTACAGTCACACCCCCTACAAGAATGCTACTCACACGGCCTTGGGGTTGGAGATATCTAGAAAGTCCTTGGTGTGTGGCTGCAGCTTCACGTAGGTTCCCTTGGGGAGAGTGACGACACTGTCCCGCCCACCAATAAGCACATCACACACCATTACAGTCACACCCCCTACAAGAATGCTACTCACACGGCCTTGGGGTTGGAGATATCTAGAAAGTCCTTGGTGTGTGGCTGCAGCTTCACGTAGGTTCCCTTGGGGAGAGTGACGACACTGTCCCGCCCACCAATAAGCACATCACACACCATTACAGTCACACCCCCTACAAGAATGCTACTCACACGGCCTTGGGGTTGGAGATATCTAGAAAGTCCTTGGTGTGTGGCTGCAGCTTCACGTAGGTTCCCTTGGGGAGAGTGACGACACTGTCCCGCCCACCAATAAGCACATCACACACCATTACAGTCACACCCCCTACAAGAATGCTACTCACACGGCCTTGGGGTTGGAGATATCTAGAAATTCCTTGGTGTGTGGCTGCAGCTTCACGTAGGTTCCCTTGGGGAGAGTGACGACACTGTCCCGCCCACCAATAAGCACATCACACACCATTACAGTCACACCCCCTACAAGAATGCTACTCACACGGCCTTGGGGTTGGAGATATCTAGAAAGTCCTTGGTGTGTGGCTGCAGCTTCACGTAGGTTCCCTTGGGGAGAGTGACGACACTGTCCCGCCCACCAATAAGCACATCACACACCATTACAGTCACACCCCCTACAAGAATGCTACTCACACGGCCTTGGGGTTGGAGATATCTAGAAAGTCCTTGGTGTGTGGCTGCAGCTTCACGTAGGTTCCCTTGGGGAGAGTGACGACACTGTCCCGCCCACCAATAAGCACATCACACACCATTACAGTCACACCCCCTACAAGAATGCTACTCACACGGCCTTGGGGTTGGAGATATCTAGAAAGTCCTTGGTGTGTGGCTGCAGCTTCACGTAGGTTCCCTTGGGGAGAGTGACGACACTGTCCCGCCCACCAATAAGCACATCACACACCATTACAGTCACACCCCCTACAAGAATGCTACTCACACGGCCTTGGGGTTGGAGATATCTAGAAAGTCCTTGGTGTGTGGCTGCAGCTTCACGTAGGTTCCCTTGGGGAGAGTGACGACACTGTCCCGCCCACCAATAAGCACATCATACACCATTACAGTCACACCCCCTACAAGAATGCTACTCACACGGCCTTGGGGTTGGAGATATCTAGAAAGTCCTTGGTGTGTGGCTGCAGCTTCACGTAGGTTCCCTTGGGGAGAGTGACGACACTGTCCCGCCCACCAATAAGCACATCACACACCATTACAGTCACACCCCCTACAAGAATGCTACTCACACGGCCTTGGGGTTGGAGATATCTAGAAAGTCCTTGGTGTGTGGCTGCAGCTTCACGTAGGTTCCCTTGGGGAGAGTGACGACACTGTCCCGCCCACCAATAAGCACATCACACACCATTACAGTCACACCCCCTACAAGAATGCTACTCACACGGCCTTGGGGTTGGAGATATCGAGAAAGTCCTTGGTGTGTGGCTGCAGCTTCACGTAGGTTCCCTTGGGGAGAGTGACGACACTGTCCCGCCCACCAATAAGCACATCACACACCATTACAGTCACACCCCCTACAAGAATGCTACTCACACGGCCTTGGGGTTGGAGATATCTAGAAAGTCCTTGGTGTGTGGCTGCAGCTTCACGTAGGTTCCCTTGGGGAGAGTGACGACACTGTCCCGCCCACCAATAAGCACATCACACACCATTACAGTCACACCCCCTACAAGAATGCTACTCTCACGGCCTTGGGGTTGGAGATATCTAGAAAGTCCTTGGTGTGTGGCTGCAGCTTCACGTAGGTTCCCTTGGGGAGAGTGACGACACTGTCCCGCCCACCAATAAGCACATCACACACCATTACAGTCACACCCCCTACAAGAATGCTACTCACACGGCCTTGGGGTTGGAGATATCTAGAAAGTCCTTGGTGTGTGGCTGCAGCTTCACGTAGGTTCCCTTGGGGAGAGTGACGACACTGTCCCGCCCACCAATAAGCACATCACACACCATTACAGTCACACCCCCTACAAGAATGCTACTCACACGGCCTTGGGGTTGGAGATATCTAGAAAGTCCTTGGTGTGTGGCTGCAGCTTCACGTAGGTTCCCTTGGGGAGAGTGACGACACTGTCCCGCCCACCAATAAGCACATCACACACCATTACAGTCACACCCCCTACAAGAATGCTACTCACACGGCCTTGGGGTTGGAGATATCTAGAAAGTCCTTGGTGTGTGGCTGCAGCTTCACGTAGGTTCCCTTGGGGAGAGTGACGACACTGTCCCGCCCACCAATAAGCACATCACACACCATTACAGTCACACCCCCTACAAGAATGCTACTCACACGGCCTTGGGGTTGGAGATATCTAGAAAGTCCTTGGTGTGTGGCTGCAGCTTCACGTAGGTTCCCTTGGGGAGAGTGACGACACTGTCCCGCCCACCAATAAGCACATCACACACCATTACAGTCACACCCCCTACAAGAATGCTACTCACACGGCCTTGGGGTTGGAGATATCGAGAAAGTCCTTGGTGTGTGGCTGCAGCTTCACGTAGGTTCCCTTGGGGAGGGTGGCATTTCGGAACCGCACTATGTCCCCCTCCTGGAGCAGCAGATTCTGCATCATCTGAAGAGGTAAGGTGCAGGGTAGTAAGGGAGGAGAGTAGGAGGGAGAGTATCAGTATGTGACTTAATATGGAACTATGCCTCCCTCCAGTCGCAGCAGGTTCTGCACCATCTGGGAGGGGAAGGATGCACGAGGTAGGATGGATGCAGGGTAGAAAAGGAGGAGGTAGGAAGGAGGGTGACAGCTGGCAACCCTTACCCATTATAGCAAACCCTTATCCGATATAGCAAGCCTTACCCAATACGGCATGTACACGTATCCCTCTTCTGCAATAAACTCCAACACACCACAGTGTTAGCAAACCTATCACAAGTTTACTTACTATGAATAGCAACCCTTACCCAATACGGCATGTACACATATCCCTCCTCTGCAATGAACTCCAACACACCACAGTGCTGCTTGACCTATTACAGCATGCGTACCTTGTTTTACCCAATATAGCAACCCTTACCCAATACGGCATGTACAAATAACCCACTTCTGCAATGAATTCCAACACACCACAGTGCTGCTTGACCTATTACAGCATGCGTACCTTGTTTTACCCAATATAGCAACCCTTACCCAATACGGCATGTACACATAACCCTCTTCTGCGATAAACTCCAACACGCCACAGTGTGACGTGCGGTTGGCCGCTGCGTTGTGCACCTCGAACAGCATGGGGTAATCTATGTGGAGTGATGCTGGAGTAAGGGGGAGGATGGAGAGCGGTACAGATGGGTTGTGATGGAACATGAGCGTGTGTTGTGCGATTGGCCGCTGCGTTGTGCACCTCGAACAGCATGGGGTAGTCTATGTGCAGGGAGGCTGGTGAATTAGTGGGGTTGGGGAGGCGTGGGGAGTGGTACAGATGGGTAACGATGAGTGTATGACGTGCGGTTGGCCGCTGCGTTGTGCACCTCGAACAGCATGGGGTAGTCTATGTGCAGGGAGGCTGGGGGGGTGGGGGGGATTAGTGAGGAGTGGAGAGCAGTACAGATGTGTTGCGATTGGCTGTTGTGTTGTGCACCTCAAAGAGCATGGGGTAGTCGATGTGCAGGGAGGCTGGGGGGGTGGGGGCGGGGGAGGGGGGAGGAGGGGGAAGGAGGGAGAGGGGGGAGTGGAGAGCGGTACAGATGGGTTACGATGAGCGTGCGACGTGCGATTGGCCGCTGCGTTGTGCACCTCGAATAGCATGGGGTAGTATATCCATGTGAAGTGGGGCTGGGGGGGGTGGGGTGGGGGGGGGGTGGAAGGGGTTGAGAGAGGCGAGATATCAGAGATGGGTTCATACATCGCCTTGCACCTTAAACAGCATGGGGGGGTAGTCCATGTGCAGGGAGGCTGGAGTATGGGGGGGGATGGAGAACGGTACAGATGGGTTGTGACGGAGGATGAGCGTGTGATGTGTGATGAAGATGGGTTCATACATCGCCTTGCACCTTAAACAGCATGGGGGGGTAGTCGATGTGCAGGGGAGGCTGGTGGACAGGGGGGGGGGGGGAGGGGAGGGTGGGTGGGGAGGAACGGAGAGCGGTACAGATGAGTTGTGATGAAACATGAGCGTGTGTTGTGCGGTTGGCTGTTGTATTGTGCACCTCGAAGAGAATGGGGTAGTCTATGTGGAGTGATGCTGGTGGGGCGGAGGGGGGAGGGGAGGAAAGGGAAGTGGGCCGGGGTGAGGAGTGCGTGAATGGGGTTTGTTGAGTTTACTCCAAAGTCACCCCTCTGAAATGCATGGGGTAGTCTTGAGTGTATGAAGGCTGGAAGAGCGGGGGATGGGGAAGAAGGGATGGCGAAGCGGTGCAGATTGGATGCAATAAGATGGCAAACGAGCTTGTGCAATCCGCGCATGCTTATAACGGGTATGGTGAAATCACCGGGCCAGTTGGAAACAAAAAAAAGGCTTATAACGGGAATGCCAGACTTAACGAGCCTGTTGGAAAACAAATCAGGCTTATAACGGGTATGGCGGACTTACCTAGCCTGTCGAGGGCAGAGGGCGGCATGATGACTGATGGGAGGGCCACCATGGGTACATAAAGGGAGGAAGGGCGCGGGTTTGAAGTGGGGGGGAGGAAGGGAAGTGTGGGGAAGGGAGGGTTTTTGAGTTGACTCGATAATGGCACGCAAAGGATGGCACCGGTTTGAAGACTGATGGAAGGGCCACGGATGCAGGGACGAAAGGATGGCACCGGTTTGAAGTGGAGGCGGACGAAGGGGAGTGAGGGGATGAAAGGGCTTTTGAGTTGACTTAAGTGTGCAGCGCGGAGGGTGGTATGATGACTGACGGGAGAAGCATGGGCGCATGGAGGGATGGATGGTGTGGGTTTGAAGTGGAGGGGAGGAAGGGGAGTGAGGGGAAGAAAGGGTTTTAGAGTTGACTAAGAAGTGCAGTGCAGAGGGTGGTATGATGACTGACGGGAGCAGCATGGGCGCATGGAGGGATGGATGGTGTGGGTTTGAAGTGGAAGGAAAGGAGGAGGGAGTGGAGAAAGGAGGGGAGATGGAGAGGACAGGAGGGGAAGGGAGGGCGGGATGTTGGGCAGGGTACAAGACGGAGGAAGACAAAGGGAGACTAAGTGTGAAGTGGCTTAAATACTTATAAAATGACTAAGGGGTTATGGATAATGACTCATAGCAGCACTATGGCAGGCCGGTAACTATGAATTGGGGGTTGGAGGAGACGGTTCCAACCATGAAAGAATGCAAAAAGAGAGAAGGGGGACGGGTTGGTTGGGGGTTGAAGGAGAGTTGAGGGAGTGGGGGAAGGGGGTGAGGGAGGTGGGCGGGGGATGGAAGAGGGAGGGGAAAAGCGGGGTTGAGCGCGTAAACGAAAGGGCGGGAGGATGTGAGCGCGGCGAGATAGAGGCAACACCAATTCCCCCACCAAAACGCAGATACATGCACACACCGCTTCCTCCCAAACCAGCCCTTACCCCCACACACACCCCTTCTCACACACACAACCCACCCACTTTCCCCTTTTCCCCCACAAACCCCCCTTCCCACGCACACATCCCTTCCTTCCCCACACACCTTTATCTCCATTCTCCAAATGAGCCTGACAAATGATTGGATGACAGGGGGTAGGGGTGGATGGAGAGAGAGAGGGAACCGGAGGAGGGAAGGGAAGAAGAGAGAAGAGAGGGGGGGGGTTGTTTGGGAGGGAGGAAGAGAGAGAAAGGGGGGGGCGGGGGTGGGGGGGGGGGGGGAAGGGGAGGAGGAGGGGCGAGTAGAAGAGAGAGGAGAGAAAGACGGATATAATGAGGCAAGTTTTCGAGCGACCCAGGTACAACACACACATGAATGAACATGCAATGAACAGCTACGTCAGCCATGCGCGTTTCGAATCAACATGTCTAACCAATACATAAATCCTGGCACCCCGCAATCCCCTCAATCAGGAGGACGGTAACGCAGGAAACACAAAGCACACACATGGCTGTTGGCTGGGCCATTGCATGTTAGCGAGACGGGATACACGTGAAAGACCAGCTCGAAAGAGATTTAAGACGCTTCATACCGCACCGCACCCAATTGCACCACACTGCACCACACCTTACCTATGAAAGAGACGGGATACACGTGGAAGCTCTGCTCAAAGAACGTTTACAATGCCTCAGTACTCACATCACACCATATTGTACTCCCTTTTGTCACTAGAGGGTATCGCATCGCACTGCACCACCCCTTACAGCACCGCACCCCACCGCACACCACCGCACCTTATCTATGAAGGAGACGGGGTACACGTGAAAGCTCTGCTCGAACGAGCCGAGGGGCTGGCCCATTCCCCCAAACGGCGGGAAATACTGCCGTGGGGCGGGGGGGGGAAAGTGGGGAAGTGGGGAGAAGGGGGGGAGGTGGGGGCATGGCAAGGGATGCATCAGATCCGATGAAGGAAGGGGAGGAAAGTGATTGTCTCCAAATGTACCGCACTCTCAAACGAGCCGAGGGGCTGCCCCATGCCCCCAAACGGCGGGAAGTACTGCCATGGGGCGGGAAGGGGGAGGGGGGAGAGGGGGGGGGAGAAGGGGAGGGGGGTAGGGTGGATGTTTCGATATCAAGGAAAAGAATATGCGGAGTGAATGTTGGTTAAAACGAGCCTAGGGACGGACTGCCATAGCAAGGGGAGGGAAAAGAGAGAGGGGGGGAGGAAAGAGGAGGAAGGTGGAGGGGAGGGGAGAAGGGAGGAGGAAGGGCGAGGGGAAATAGATACACATCGAAAATAACAGGTTGGATGGATGGCATCACGAGGCAGATTGGACCGTTGTAACGGACAGTGTTCGAGCGCGCTTGGCAACGCAACTGTGACTGTGACTAGGCCGAATCACAAAACGATCCAGCTGTTATCCCTTCAACAGGTCGTGAAAGATTGTGACAGATTCTTTTGAATTCCAACAAATCCCGCGTGGTCCTAACCATGAGAGAAATAATCGCTGATTGGTCCTAACGGACGCGCAATCCTGACAAGAACGAGAATTCTGATTGCCCAGAATTCTTATCAATTGTGATGTCATCTCGAAATTCTGACAAAACATAAGGGTATTAATTACGTCTCTCACAGCAAGAGCGAGGGTAAATAGGAGGGAGGGTAACCTGGAGGGAGGGTCACTTGATTGTCCACGGAATCGCCTTACCATAATCACAGATTGACTTGGACGATCAGAATCCGACGGTGACGATTTGCTCTGGAAGTCCGTGAGACGCGTTGCAACGGAAATCTCGGACAACTATCAAAGAGAGTAACGGTTGCCAGAATCTACGGTCAAGAATCTCTTAGCGATCAGGTGAAGAAGCTTCGTGGCAACTCACGTGAATCTCCTACTCTACTTTCTAAGTCTAGTCGCGCTCTTCGCTCGCCGGAGAAAACGATCGATTTCCCAACAATCTCGCTCTGCTAATCTCTAGCTACCTTTACCTATACTGTCTGCTTCGGATGGTGAGGAAGTGAGGAAACTGAACAGGCTGGGCTTTGTGAACATTGAAATTCTCCTCTACCATCTTCTAGTGTGTGTTCCGCTACAGTCCATAAGCATGAACGCCCTTGTTCTCCCATAGAATCTCTTCCATGTTTAGATGCTTATAATGTGCATAATCACAGCTAGTGTATGTTTATGTTACGAGTGCAATTGAGTGAGCGAACGAGGATTGCACTATCGAAGCAATAATACCATGAGCGAAGGAATGAGCGAACAATATATAGCGAAGCCTAGCGTGGTAACGGTAATGCGCGATAATGTGGTGCCGAGGTTGGGAATTGTCGAGACACTAATTAGCGGGTTACCAACCGAACCGTGAGGTTGGGTCGCGATGTGAACAGTGGCGGGAACCGTTGTCGAGGCGAGTGTCGCGAGTCGTAACGTTTTACTGTAGGGTGTTGTTGGCAGGAATAATCGTGTACACCCTATTCTAGTTAATTTCACACCCTTTAAGCGCACACCCTGGGGTAAATACTCTCGGTTAAGCGTTTAAGTTGGGTAACAAGCAACGATTGTAGACTATCGGAGGAGGGGATCTCGCAACCTTCTCGCGAATGGAAGAAAATAAACCGGAGTTCCAAGGGCAGCCATCCACCCCTACTACTCACTTGGAAAATTAAGTGCGAGACTCTATAACTACCCTCGTCAATCTTTGGGTGTCCGTCACATCGAGCCAGAAAACGTACAGGGTACCTTCGAAATAGGGGGTAGGGGGTGTGCAATTATCGAGAATAGGGTGTATGTTAGAATCCCAACCACTAGACCATTGGGATAAAAGGGCTAGTTTCAGTAGCGGGTCCGTGTGCCCATAACCCCCCAGGCTAACATGCCTGTAACCCCCCAAGGATCAATCGGGGATCTCACAGTGCAGCTCTACTGACACCCCCCAACACTAGGAGGTCCAGGACTGTGCACAGCGACAACGGCCTGCATGTGCATACACCGGGATTCGAACCCGAGACCGCTCTGATACCATGTCAGAATTCCAACCACTAGACCATTAGGATAAAATGGCTTGTTTCATTAGCGGGTCCGTGCGCCCATAACCCCCCAGGCTAACATGCATGTAACCCCCCAAGGATCAATCGGGGATCTCACAGTGCAGCTCTACTGATAGTGTACACGTGAAGCAGGGGTGCGAAGTGAGGAAAGGGAATTTTCCTTACACTGCCCCCCTCCACGAGGAGGCTCCCCTTACAAGAGTGTGTGTACATCCCGAAAATTGTGGTTGCGCAGATACTCGGCGAGGATGGGGTGGTTTTCAATTTTATCTAGGCGCACCCAGTTGTCTTCTGTGAGGGTGCGATCTTTCCAGCGAATCAGGAACTCGATCCTGCGGGCTCCACGTGGGTCTCGAACTCGGTGGCTCACTATCTTTTCAGAGGTGATGACGGGCTTTGTAGGTGGTCGCGTCATGCTGGATGGGCGGCTGCGTGGCAGTTGACTCGTTGATGGGACGTAGGGGCGGAGGAGGCTGACTTGGAAGGATAGGCTGACGTACCACTCGGCGGGCAGGAGGAGGTGGGCGGTGGCGGGTGTTATCATGTGGCTGATTCGAAATGGCCCACAGTATCGGGGGCGGAGTTTTAGGGTTATGGGCAGGCGGAAGTTCTGGGTGTCGAGTAGTACAAGGTCGTCGGGCTAGTAAGTGACGGGGCGTCGGTGGCGATCGGTTTTGCGTTTAGCGATGTCGTTTGATTTTTTAATGGCATCTGCTGCTCAGCTCCGGGCTGCCTGTAATATTTCGGCGAACTGTTGTGCACGTGGTACTGGGTTGTTGGGGTTCGACGTCATGGGCACTGTAGGGGTCTGTCCGTAGTTGAGGTAGAACGGTGACTGCTGCGTCGTGGCTGATGTGGAGTTGTCGTATGCGAATTCGATGAGTGGCAGTTGCTATTCCCATGTTGCCGGATCGTCGCACGTGGCTCGAATTAATTGCTCCATGGTCTGATTGGTCCGTTCTGTTTGACCGTCGATTTTGGGGTGGTACGATGAACTGAACTGTAGTCGCGTGCCAAACTGAATTTCGTGTCGCGGTCGCTGATGATCGCCGCGGGTATCCCGTGTAGTCGAACGATGGTTGAGATGAAAAGTCGGGCACTTTCTTCGGCTGAGATTGCTTTCTTGCAGGCTGCGAAATGGGTCATTTCCGTTAGCCGATCGACGACGACCAGGATCGCATCGTTCCCACTTGCTCCAGCGGGTAACCCCGTGACGAAGTCCATTGTCACCTGCTGCCAATCACGCTCTGGGGGTGGTATCGTCTGCAACTGCCCAGACGGTCGTTGCCGTGACGACTTCATGAGCTGTCAAGTGGGACACGATGCCACGTGTCGTTGCACGTCGGTCAGCATCTCGAGCCAGTAGTAGTACCGCTGCCGCTGGGGCTATACCTGGGTCAGGCGGTACACACAAGTAGCAGTCACCCTCAGCACTAACAGTCAATGCATACATGGCAGCAAGAATAGCATCATAGTCAAGATCAAAGATAGGAACATCACGCCTAAGCAGGTCTGCCCAAGGGGGAAACTCAGTAGCCTCAGGAAACTTGACGCGCCAGGCGTCGCTGAGCCGAGAGAAGCAGCGGTACTCCGTGTGAAATCCGTTGCATGGGCGACCAGCGCGGGGACCTGTGCGAATGGTATAGGTGCAGCGAACAGGACCCCCAGACGCCCCACGCTGAGCGTACCAGTCATGAAGCTGCTGAGGCGTGGGGGTCTGACGCTGACGCTGCTGCTGCTGCTGTTGCTGCTGCTGCTGCTGCTGTCCCTGGCCACCACTGGAGCTCCCCTTCTGGCCGGCTCCACTCCAGCTCCCACCACCGCTGCCACCACCGCTCCCTCCTCCCCCACTCCCGCCGCTGCCACCTCCACTATGTTCGAGGCTCATTGTTTGTAGGTGACCGTGTAGTGGAAGTTTGACTCGAGAAAGTTGCGCCAGCGAATCTGTCGTGGGTTGAGGTAGACAGCGGCTAAGTGTCAGTTGCAGCTTCCTCGCGGTTGCGGTATTAACTAAGTTGTGACTTGCAATCCGTCAATAAAAGTCTTCAATGCTGTCCCCTGTATTTTTTTTCTGTCAGCTTCGAGTACGATGTCCACAGTGGTAGGATCCCGGCCTCGGACGGCGTAGGATGTCGATCTTCTCGGCGAGCGCTAGGATTTCAGTGAAATTGGAAATTCCGCGGAGAAGAATCTCCTGCGAAATTTCCGGATTCAAGCTGCCGACGTAGCGATCCACTCGCTCCGCTTCGTGCATGTAGCCAACCTGCTCACACAGCGCGAGAAAACCGCTGGTGCAATCTTGGACCGACCCAAGCTGTCGCCAATTGCGCAGCTTCTGGCGTGCCGAAATCGAAGCCGCAATCGGCTCGAAGCGCGCCCGTAGCCCTGCACACCACGCGTCCCGCGTGCTGTATTGGGCGGTTTCTCATAAAGAAATCCTGGTTACGGCTGGGCCCGTGGGACTTTCCTCTTGCGACAGTGGCTCGTAGGCGCTCGGCGACGTCACAATGACTCGCCACCAGTCCATGGCGGGGCCCCGCAGCAATGACACGGCGTACCGAATCTTCGCTGCATCCGACGTGACGTAGTTCGCGTAAAAAACGCGTTCATTGTGAAAATCTACGATTGAACCGTCGGACCTCCATGCTGGCTAGGATCGAAGCAGGGCGGGCGCTGCGTGTTGAAACCAGAAATAAGAAGCGATTGCATTAGCAGGAAGTTGGGTACAAGTAGTGAAACCCTAAAGTGTTGTACCCCACATTGACTACCCCACTACAGCCTAAGCAAGCTATAGCATATATGTTTGACACACCCCCATAGGCAAAGTGGGGGAGAACAAGAGGTCACAAGACCAGTCAAGAAAAGCAAAGCAAGCTCAAGGTGGATCTCAAGGATTCCACACAAATTCCGAGCACAAGCAAGCGGCCACAAGACCAGTTCACATGCAGTTTGATAATACAACAAGCAGTACAGTGATCAGAACCTAGCAAGAGTAAACATGCAGGTATACATATATAAGGATCACAGTACAAGCAAAGTCAAGAAGTAAGCAAGTGAGGCACAGTAGGCACAAGGCCTAGAACAGTACAGAAACGCTGATGATCACAAGGCTAAAGTGCCTTGGTGAAGACATCAGCAGTGTTGGCCCGAGTGGCCACGTACGCAAGACGAAGCTGACCACGCTGCTGCAACTCTCGAGCAAGGAAGTAGCGCAGAGCAATGTGCTTCGTTCTGTGCTCCAGTCTGTGCTCCTGACACAAGGCAATCATGGCCTTGTTGTCGACGTACAACACTGGAGGAGAACGAGGCGGCTCTCCCAGGTCGGTCATCAGGTAGGTGAGCCAGCGTAACTCCTGTGCAGCCATGGCCCCTGCGTAGATCTCAACCTCACAACTGGAGCTAAGAACAGAAGACGAGCGGGTAGACTGCCAAGAGACAGAGCCGGAGCCAAGACTCAAGGTGTAACCCTGTGACGACCGCTGCGTAGCCAAGTCGTCAGCCCAGGAAGCGTCTGCGTGACCAGTGAGGACAACTCGAGCCCGTCCTCCAAGCACGAGCCCCATGCCCGACGTACTGCACAAGTAGCGCAACACCCTCTTAGCTGCATCCATGTGCTCCTTCCTGTGTCGGCCAGGAGCGACATAGCGTGCTAGAATGCTA